TGCTTTGTTTTCATTTCAAGTTGAAATTACGCTCCTCATATTCCAAATTGGATTTACGTAATTCCAACGATTAATTAATGACGAACGTGCTTGTTTTGGCACTTGATATGTTGGAAGGAGTTGGAATTAGGGAGGCAAAATATTGCATAGAAACTATTTGCCAGGGAGAATGAATAGGATTTTATCTCCCATAAAACGTAATCTATTGTGAGGTTTCGTTAGTTGTAATACCTTGAGACCTTCAAAATTATCAGATATTTTTTTATAACAAAACCTATAAAGAAATGAAGTTGTCAAGTTTTGCAGGAAAATTCTGAGTGCGCAACACGAATGAGCATGAGTGAATATTTTGATTTAGAAACAATTAATGCCACTTACCACATTCACAAACTTGTATTCTAATTCACTAGTCACTTCAAATGTCCATAGAAGGAGAATAAGCGAAGGATATAGAATTATTGACATCATTTCAGTACAGAAAAGTTCAAACAATTTTCTCAAGATGTTTGTTGGAAAACAGTCCGAAAAAATATACCAAGAATTTTCTGCGACTTCACACATTGGTATTACAAAATGGACTATCTCATGGCTTTATATAGTCCTCGCCACAAAAGAGTGGTCGATGCTGGGTATCCCCACTCTCTCCAATTTAGCTCCGACTCGACGTCTCCCACCATTCAGATCGAAGACTATTCGTTTCTGATGGCGGCGATGATAGTTCTGGCGTCAGAGATTTTGTAGAGGAGCTGAACGGGACAATAATTTTTTTTGTTGTATTCGCTTCAGATGTCAGTGAACATGAAATCCTTAAAAAGTTATGCAAAAATATCCACGGCTCCATTTGTTTAAACTAATTAAAAGCCCTTATTATACGTTTTTAGTGGTTTTTTGCAATTATGTCGCGAACGACAATGCACGGAGAGAAATATTCAGTAAAAATTACGGAACAATTCACATAATCCGCAATGGGGAATCGGTTTCCGGCAATTTTTATAGGAATGGAAGAGAAGAAATCTGAAACCTTCAGTGAATTCTCAGGTTCATCACCGAACAAAGTATGAAATTGTCACGTAATTTTTCCCAAAGAAGTAAAATCTTACAGAAACTTTCCGACTTATTATTCCTCCAAGAAAAAAAATTCTTTAACGTTCAACAATTTTTATGAGGCTGGTGAGTAAAATTTCTCAATCGTTGGGGAAAAATTACGGAACGGCTTGTTCCAACAGCGATGAGTCATCAGACGGGTTATTTTTTACGGAACAAATCGTAGAATTTACGTGGCGATTGGTACAATTTCAGTTCCGACTCACACTTTCTATTGAATTTTACTTTGCTCCTGGATTATGTTTCGAAACGTAATTTTTACGTTTTTTTTCTGATAATTTTTATTTAATTTTTCTTGCTGTGTAGCTATCAATTTTTTTTCATTCTCTTCGTTATGAAGTTGTCTACAAATAATGGCTATAATTTTTCACGCCAAGGCCACCATTTGGCTGCTTCATCGCGGAACCCCCCTTATACGCCTATTACGCCGCGATTTCAACGTTGTGTAATGCGATGAATGTTAAAAATCGACGCGACATAACAATTCTGAATGCTCCTGCTTTAAACCTCACAGTATCATCGTATTCGATGGATATCTTGCAGATGCATCTGCTAACAGCACAAAGCATGTTGAGAGATCAAGAAGACAACAGAAAAACACCTCTGTCGACATCATCTTTGACCCAACAATGAGTGCAACTGTCTCTCAGGATCAATTCCTCTCTAATGACAGCAACAAGGATAGGCTCATAAAAATGTTGAGCGATAAACTTCGTCTGGCAAACTTCGTCATCAAATAAGCCTACGGAGATGCAAATACTCTCATAGTTACTACTGCTCTGGAGGTACCAATTGGAGAAGTCATTGATTTATTGGTGCTCCTGACAGCATTGGGCGCAAAAATCCTAATGTTTACTCCTTAAAACCAAGCAGATGAAAAACAGAACAGAAATTATATACCCACGACAGTTTCCAATGGAGACGGCGACATAAGAAACTTGATGTAGGCGACAGCACTAAGGCCGAGACCTTACATTTGCAGCTGTTGAATAGTAGAACATCGCGAAATTGATTCTTTTATTTGTTCTGCACGGAGAAAAATTGTATTGGAGAAAACGTGAATTTTTCCCCCATTTCGGTGAAAATTTCACAGAAATCCCCAGAAATTTTACCAGAAATACCAAGAAATTTTATCTTAATAGTACTAGAATTTTTCACAGCCGGTGGATTTTGATTTTTTCCAGTACTTGTACTAGAATTTTTCTAGAAAATTTCTCTCTGTGTGGCTATTTTCGTTGGACAACGGGTATTTGAGCATAAAATATGGGATAATTGGATACTCGTTCGGCTGCAAATAAAACCACTACTACGAAATTCATCTATAATTCGGAAAACAGCTCTAGTTGAGCTGTGCGTGATGGATTTCACCCATCATCTAAGAAACTGACTTTATTGATAGATTCTCCACCCTGCCAGAAATCATGATTTCTCGAGCCATTTCTTAAAGTGAAGAAATTTTCGGAATCTATTAAAAATCAATGGAAATCGTGATTCTGAATTCTGATCGAGAAATCGCAGAAATCATTCAAGAAATCACACAAAATCATCCTATTCGGGGATGTACAGAGCCACCAGAATGAGAAGTCATCAACCCCTCGGAGTCCAATACTCAATATTCTCTACAAAGAACTTTTTTTCCCTGGAATTTTTCAAAATATGAGCGACAAAAACATCATTAGACACTTTATCGATAAACAATTTCGAAATTAAGCAACGTGTCAGATAATTATACTAAATTCCAAAAATCGAAAAAGTGTACCGTAATCTTTTTTTCGCACAATTTTCGCCAAATTTTGAAGATGAAAAATCAACTCAGTAGCGAAGTGGTAAAACGTTTCAAGTCGAGTTATCTCCCAGTTGAGTTTTTGAAGAATATTTCCGAATTCAAGGGAGAAATTTTTTGCAATAGCTCTCAATCGGCTCTATAAAAAACGTTATAATAAAAATTTTGCCATTTCCCTTAGATCCCGAGATATACAGTGAAAACTGGTCAATGGTCAAAATTGATTTGTACCGTGTTACCACTTCGCTACTGAACTGTAATTAAGTGGAGAACACTATTGGAATCATTATTATTTTTTTAAAATTCATATTTCTTTCCTACTACCATTACGGTTTTATAGGCTCCCCATTCGTCTGTCTTGTCTCCCACTTCTCTCTTCTGATTTTTTATCTGCGTTACCATGGGCGATCTTACTCTTAACTGTACCCCATTCGGGCAAGGATTGCACGGGAAATCATGGAAAACCCCAGACGTACAGTCGGCCGATTGTGCAGAGCCCTAATGTGCCCCTCTTGTCAGTGTGACACTACACCGTGCCTACCTTCCGAAATTTTTGGGCGAGGGTGTTCCTATAGCGGTCACCCATTCAATTACTAACCGCGTTAAACGCAGCGGCACACGGAAGTCCGCCGAAGCAACACCTAACTCACCCAACCATTACAGTCGGCTACCTTTTTTTGTTTTATAGTAATATAAGAATGATCGGAAGAACAGTTTTCCTTGTTTATTAGGCTTTGAAAAAATTTGATACATGATAAAAATACAGACAGAATACAGAATATTTTTGAGTAAAAGCCACCACTATCAACATAGGTTTTCCGGAGTAGGCAGCTCATCACTGTACAATTCCACAAATTTTTCTAGAGGACATAGTTTACTACAGTCGGGTATTTTTATAGGGATTCTAGTCGATGGGATCCCTAAGTAATAATGAATCTATAATGATCAGTTTGTGAAAAATATATTTATCAATGAAATTCGTATATTGACCAATACAGGATTAAAACTCACGCAGACAAAATATCTATCATTATCCGTAAAAAATTCAACGAAAATGGCACTTGAATATTATGGAAGATGACTTTTACCAACACGCAGAAATTCTAACACCGAGAAGATATTCATATCGTGGCCAGCTAGCAATTCCATTTTAAATTCTGATTCTCCATTGTTCTCAACAACAACTAACATATTATTCATAAATTTCTTCAAAATCATTCCTGAAACAAGTAACAATGAGTTGATTAATCAGTTACTATCTTGTGGTCACTATATTTTGCGTTATGTAATGCTGGATCTAGCGTGATAATGGATTATCGAGAGTTACATGTCATTCGCGGAGGGGTGATTCAATATTTGATCCCTATATTGGGCTTTTCCATATTCGGTTCTTGACAAGTTGTTCACCCTTTTTTGCTTTCAGCATCGAACTAATAATTCCACAGTAGCCTTTCAATTGTTTTCCCTTTTTTTTTTATAGATTTTTCCCACATTTTTATGAGGTATCATATAACGCCGAACACTGCACTCTGTTTGACCAAAATCAGAATTAAGCGGAAACGGAACCCCTGGTCTGTATGAATTTTTAGAATTGTGTTTTCTCCTACAATTATTACTTTTTCATCACTAGGCCCGATAAACCGCGATTTTCTCCCTTCGCTCGGTTCCCAGGTGAGGATTAACAACTGGCCCAGGCCTGGTCAAGTCTTGGACCAGGACTAGACAAGCCTGTCCGAGGCTTGGTATCCAAGCCTATATCAATCCTGAAATGGAACATTGGTCCAAGCTAGGACTGAGGCTTGATCCAAGCCTTGGAATTAAGCTTAGACCAAGCCTGGTAATGTAGCTTGGACCGAGCTTGGAAAATACGATTGTTTGAAGCCTGGCATTTTGGATTGGTCCAAGCCTAATGATTTGGTTCCGCCAAGCTTGGAAATTTAGATTAAACCGAGCCTGGTAATCTATCGTTTACAATAAAAAGTCATATTATTCAATAAAAAAATACATATATTTTTTTCCGTTTGAACAATACAGAATATTTCGTTACAATAGTTATAAATAATGAAATAATATGATGAGGTAAGAATACTGGAGATGCTCCCTTGAATGAATATTAAGCTGAGTGTCGAGCTCTTTTTCTCTCAGCAGCCCCTCCATCTCGATCAGATGCAGCTGATAACCAGTCACTGGTTGTTGTCAATATTTTCATTTCTTCCTCTGATTTCTTGTACTTGGCTTTGAGAAAGTCTGCACAGAAAAGAATCAATTCGATAATGTGTCACGATTATAATTATAATTACTGCGAGTATTCTGAATAGCGATGGATTCAGAGGGAAATTTCCAAAAACATTTTTTGTAATTCATGGAAATTCCAACAAAAAAGATCTTTTGACGTTCTCTCGTAACATCCCTCATTACAGAGATGATGACACAATTGATAATTTGACAACGAACTTACAGTTTATCCTGTAAATATTTTTGAAACCCGCGTGTTGAGGAAAAAAAGGTCGAGGGACATTTTGCAGGAAATGGAAATTGACAAAATCTAATAAACGAACCTCTCATGCACTCGTAACTCATCGTTTTGCTGAAATTCTTCTTCGCAACTCCTCGTGTTGCACGACCAGCACCACTGTAGAGGAGTTGTACAGGCTTTTTGGTGAAGTGGAAGAGAATTTTTTTGGTGTCTGCCACAAAGTCATTTGACTCCGAAGTCTCATTAGCCATAAACTCCATCTGGAAAATATATGAAGAATGATTAAAGAATTGAATCTGATGGTTAATCCGTTAATAATCCAAACTAATTACCAAGGCAGCTCGACGTTTAGTGACTTCCTCCACATTCTCAGCATCTTTCAAATCCAACATGTTTTCCCATTTCTCAAAATCCTCTAGCGTATCGACTGGAATTTTCATCCCTAATTTATCTTGTGCCAAAACAAATTTCTCTCCAAGAGGCAACGTGGGAGTTTTCATGGATTGCTTCAATTCTTTTGTATGATTAGTCATATCCAATTGATGGCATCTCCTGAGGTTGTGTAACTCCGATTTATAATCATAAGACAAAAGGGCTAGAGATGTATCCAAGTAGTCAGCAAAAAACACTGGAAAGAATACACAGTTGTGAGCAAAATTGATGAATTTTGATTTGTCGTTTTATGTTCTTTTTCTACTATTGAATTTCGAGCATTTACTTTTAACAGGATCGTCTTCGTTCTTTTCTCGTATCTTTAGTAGATGGTCCTGGAACTGAACTCTAGGATGTACCCTATCTGAGGCATTTTTCGTAACTAGAAGAAGAAAAATAGTCTGATATATTTTACGAAAAGAAAGGTTGAATAACACAATTAAAAAATACCTTTCACTGGTCCCATCGAGTTTGCATCTCTTGAGGTACTGGGTATTGGAGCCAGAATTCCATCACTCTGGGGATCAACAGTGTTGCAAGATCGCTTTGGGGGAAGAACAATTGGCTCTTCGTCAATATTCTCGAGAGAATGAGAAGTCTTCAGCACACTTGAAGCGCGTTTCTTCGTAATGCTGAGTTCTGAGTCGACACTCTCTAACTCAGAATCAGTTTCTAGGCCTGAGCGAGTCTTATAGAGTTTCTNTTGCTGAAATTCTTCTTCGCAACTCCTCGTGTTGCACGACCAGCACCACTGTAGAGGAGTTGTACAGGCTTTTTGGTGAAGTGGAAGAGAATTTTTTTGGTGTCTGCCACAAAGTCATTTGACTCCGAAGTCTCATTAGCCATAAACTCCATCTGGAAAATATATGAAGAATGATTAAAGAATTGAATCTGATGGTTAATCCGTTAATAATCCAAACTAATTACCAAGGCAGCTCGACGTTTAGTGACTTCCTCCACATTCTCAGCATCTTTCAAATCCAACATGTTTTCCCATTTCTCAAAATCCTCTAGCGTATCGACTGGAATTTTCATCCCTAATTTATCTTGTGCCAAAACAAATTTCTCTCCAAGAGGCAACGTGGGAGTTTTCATGGATTGCTTCAATTCTTTTGTATGATTAGTCATATCCAATTGATGGCATCTCCTGAGGTTGTGTAACTCCGATTTATAATCATAAGACAAAAGGGCTAGAGATGTATCCAAGTAGTCAGCAAAAAACACTGGAAAGAATACACAGTTGTGAGCAAAATTGATGAATTTTGATTTGTCGTTTTATGTTCTTTTTCTACTATTGAATTTCGAGCATTTACTTTTAACAGGATCGTCTTCGTTCTTTTCTCGTATCTTTAGTAGATGGTCCTGGAACTGAACTCTAGGATGTACCCTATCTGAGGCATTTTTCGTAACTAGAAGAAGAAAAATAGTCTGATATATTTTACGAAAAGAAAGGTTGAATAACACAATTAAAAAATACCTTTCACTGGTCCCATCGAGTTTGCATCTCTTGAGGTACTGGGTATTGGAGCCAGAATTCCATCACTCTGGGGATCAACAGTGTTGCAAGATCGCTTTGGGGGAAGAACAATTGGCTCTTCGTCAATATTCTCGAGAGAATGAGAAGTCTTCAGCACACTTGAAGCGCGTTTCTTCGTAATGCTGAGTTCTGAGTCGACACTCTCTAACTCAGAATCAGTTTCTAGGCCTGAGCGAGTCTTATAGAGTTTCTCGAGTTTTTTCTGGGCTTTTTCGATTGTTGTTGTGGAAAAAAGATTATTCCATGAAGCAAAAATAATTTGGAAAAAGTAGTATCTAAATTAATGAGAATAAAATTCACCTGCTTTGCCCAAAATTTCAATCTCATAAATTTCCCACGAAGCGTTGAAGGGGCGTTCTTCTTTGAGCCATTTTTCAACTTTGATCCAATCTTTCTTAGGAGGATAGTAGCAGAAATCCTTTAATGTTACGTCAATTTTTTTCTGGATCCACCCATCAAGTACGACTTCAATGACCTTCTTTCCATCGTCAGTGAGTTCTCCCACAAATTCGACGAGACGATAGGGATAATTATTTATGCCTTGATCACTCATTGTCTAGAATATGAGGAAGAATAATTTCAATTGAGTGGACGTTGTTCACTCTGATTTTTAGGTTAATTTGATGATCTCATTTTTTTCACATTCATTGAGAAAAACTAATATTTCACTGCCGATGGATGAAAAAAAAATATGTTCAGTAAGTGAAAACATGAACTCACGTGAAACGCTGTAAATTACGTGTAGGTGAATATACTGTACACGTACACTTGTTCGTGGGACCACGAAAACAATTAAAATGGCGGTCTAAAAAATTTAATGGTGTTGCCAAATGAACGCCACAAGCGTCTTCTCACAACGCGAACAATTGATTCCGTCTCTCACTTCCACCAAATTTACTCTTTTCTCCATTCACGATTACCGGAAAGGTGATTATTGTTTAGTGTAGATGGCTTAGAGCAGAGCGAAAGAACAAGATCGTCCACCTTGTACCGTACGTCTCTGACTACATATGCTACCTACCCCCCCCTCACTTTCATGAAGTCACGACACCGTCCCCTCCACTGATACATGCATCGGTCGGGTCCGTCCGCTTATTTTCGTATCCTGAACTGTCGTTCACATTGCAACTGCAGTGACTTGTGCATGAAAACGGTCTTTGGTTCAATTGGAATGTGGAATCAATGATAAATTTGTTGTTCATCTTGTTTATTTTTTTATTATTATTCTTTAAAAATTCAAGTGCTCCTGAAAGACTAGCTGAGCATTTAAAAATCGCATTTAGTTGATTAAATGAATAAGAAAATTATTAGAAAGGAGTATGACATATATTTTTACACCGATTGTTAGTTTATAGCCTCAAAAATGCAAAAAAAAACTGTGTAATTTCAATTGGAATGTGGAATGAATGAAAAATTTATAGTTCATCTTGTTTATTCTTTTTATTGTTGTTATTTAAAAATTCAAGTACTTCTGATAGACTATCTGAGTATTTAAAAATCGCAATTAGTTTATTGGATGAATGAAAAAATTATGATAAAGGAGTGTGACATATTTTTAGATTGATTGTTGGTTTATAGACCCAAACAGACTGAAAAAAATGCAAAAAACTGGGTTCTTTCAAGTGGAATGTGGAATCAATAATGAATTCGTTGTTCATCTTGTTTATTCTTCTTTTTGTTATTATTTAAAAATTCAAGTGATCCTGAAAGACTATCTGAGTATTTAAAAGTCGTAGTTAGTTGATTGAATGAATGAGTAAATTATTATAAAGGAGTGTGAGATCTATTTTTAGAGAAGCTCCTGTAAGAAGTTGTAAATTTGAACTGTCAGGAGGCAAAAAATAGTTAAAATAAGTGGTTTCAATGATAATATTGATAGCTTTTTAAATTAATCATCCAGTCTATTCTAATCGATTTATAACAATTTGAATGTATTCTAGTGCTCTCTGTATATTTGTTAAACAGTTCAATTTCAATGATCAATAGTTGATGAATTAATGTTGTAAAATCTACAAAGGCATTCAAATTTTAATTCTCAGAAATATAAATTTTTTAGTTTCAAAGAATGTCAGTCATTTACACGAATTCTCCGATAACCATGTGAATTTAATCATTCCAGCATTTCCAAGAGATGGAATTTACTCAGGATCCCTGTGGAGTAGTGAAATTACATATTCTTCCTCTTGAATTATCAACTCCATGCATTTATATTTTACCTCATTGAGTGATAACAGTTCACGGGTATTAGACCACTTCTTGATTTGAAACACTCCAATTTGATGTGAAGGACACGGTGCACAAAATACATCCTTCGTTTCGCCAACTCTCAATCCCTCCATAAGGAAATTATTCGGATTCTCCACATGACTTGAGCCTTTTTCTTCCATCCACAATCCCGTAATCATAAATAGATCTCGATTGATTAATTGTACAACATTATTAGGCCGATTAGTACGTAAGATGAAGTTGTGAAAAGTGATAGACTCCAATGAGACAAAATTCTCCTCATTTTCCAGGATACCTTTATTAGTTTTCATTCTTTTTGCATCTCGAATCTGTTCACGCTTCTTTATCCTCACGTCTTCAGAAGCTTCAAGAGCATTGAGTCGATTTATAATTTGAGGTAATGGTTTGGCTGTGCTGCTAGCATAATTTTTCAACTTTCCAATATAATTCTCTCCCCAAAATGCTGAATAATCATATAGAGAAGTTTTAAAATACTCTGCGTCATCAGGTATGTGTAGTAGGTTGTGGAAAGTCATCGTCTGCGAATCATCCCCATAATAAAGTGGCAATATCTCAAAAAAACTCGTCAATAATTTTCTCGCAAATTTTGGATGATCCACGACCCACAGATTATTGCAGAGAATACGGCACGACACGTACAGTAACAGGAAGTGTTGATATCTTTCTTCATCAAGGACACATTTGAGTATTACACCACCTACATACAGTTGTAAAAATGCATACTGAGTTGCCTTCCATTGTGAAATGTCTTCGGCATCGAAAGTCTTTCGCTGGAACTCTGCAGGTACAAAAGGCGTCACAGAATCCATTAATACCTTGAAAATACGCACTTGAGTTGGCGTCAATTTATATGTATTCTTCTCTCTTTTTACCCACTTTTCACCAAGGATTTTCATCACATTAAAAAAAAAACAATGCATGATGTCTATGGGGACCTGTTTAACTGGATCGAACCCAGGGATGCTTAGTAGAGGTGACACGAGTGGCTCTTTCGTTCTTGCATCGGTCAGATGGTGATCAGGCTGAGCTTGGGTTTCAAATGTGTGTTTTGTTCGTAAGGTGCAATTCATTTTTGGATAAATTCGTTTTCTATTCCTGGTCTGACCTTCAGTCGTACACCTTTCACACCCATAGTAGGCAGTCGCACCTTTAATACATTTTAAAAACGCTCTAGCTGCACTATCAGCGATTATAGCTGATATTTGAAATTTATACTTTTTACCACCATTTTCAATGCCCTCATTAATCAATTTTGTCGATTCTTCCACAAAATCCTTCAAATATTCCGAAACATTTTTCGGTTTGGATTTTCCGTAGAATAATCCAACAACAAATGGAGTTGCCACGTAATGAGGGTGGAGAATTTTCATGGCAATTGGCCACATTTGATCCTTAGAATGGCGATAAACTTTCATTCCATCCACATGTACCACAACACGAATTGTCTCTTCTGTGTATACATCTGAAACAATTCGTTTCTGTAAGCCATTACTAATGCCAAGATAAACATATTTACCAATCTCATCCTTGAGAGTGAGTAGATTCCTCGTTTTTATTTTATGTTTGAATCCCAGCAATTTGTGAGCGGTTGATGGCAGATCTGTAAAGCACAGGCTCCTGAATATTTGTAATATTTCTGTCACAGCTTTCAATTTTATGGATCCTATATTATTGATAACCCATTGCCGTATCCTCTGCTTTAAATTAGGGCGTTCAGGAGATACTGCGGCCTGCTCTTGAGCCACTATCGGCTCCTCTGCAGTATCTTGTTCGCTCATGTAATTTCCTTGGTCCTCTTCGTAAAAAGCTGAGTTTTCTGCGGCACTTTCAACATGAATATCATTGAACGAAGGATCATCATCAAAATTCCAGTGAAATTGGTCCGTGTCATCTTTGAGGTTATATTCATCGATATCCAACCACTCATTTTCATTTTCTTCATTCAATGTAAATGATGATTCTTCATGTAACACCTCATCATGACAATTGTCAAAACTATTATTAGGCACATAAGACTCTTTAAATTTCTTCAAAACACGATGTTTTCTCACTCTTTCAGTCGATTTACGACTACTTCGCACTTTTGACGCCATAATTAGGCTTCAATTGCGCTTGGTCTAAATGCAGTGATCTTGAAAACGATTGGATATGAACTGGAACAAGATCGCAATCTCGAAGTCTCAGTATCAGTCTTCGATCGAGCCTGGTCCAAGCTTGGTATTATCCAGCTTGGTATCCAGTCATGAAGACAGCTTGAACCAAGACTTACCAGCAGGGTTGGATGTGGCATATGAGCCTGGTCATTGCCGATGCTTGAGTACCAGTCTTGGATCCAGCCCGGTCAAAGCCTAATACTTTCAAGGCTTGGATACCAGTCCTTGGTGCTCCTTGGTCCAAGACTTGATACCAGGCTTCAATGTGCCATATAAATCTGGTCTCCATCGAGGCTTGGACACCAGTCTTGGATCCAGCCTGATCGAAGCCTAGTACTTTCAAGACTTAGATACCAGTCTTGGATCCAGCCTGGTCGAAGCCTAGTATTTTCAAGGCTCGGATACCAGTCCTGGGTGCTCCTTGGTCTAAGACTTGTTACCAGGCTTCGATACGCCATATCACTCGGGTTATCATCAAGGCTTGAGTACCCCTCTTGGATATAGCCTGGTCCAAGCCTAGTAATCACGAGGCTTGGATACCAATCCTGAGCATAGGCTGGGCCAGGCCTGGTATCCGAGGGTGTTAGATGCAAGTCTTGGATATAGACTGGTAGGACCATCGATACAGGCGAGGGCCAGCCTATATAAGACAAGGCTTGGAAGTCTCGATTGTTCCAAGCTTGAACCGGTTGTCAAGGCTTGGCAATTCCTACCTGGGGTTAAATCGCGGTTTTCCGGCCTAATAACAAAAAATATTAATATTAATGAGAAAACAATTCTAAAAGTTGATATAGACAAAGGGTTCCGTTTCCCCTTAAGGAAATTGTTCTTCGAGTTCCCCTCGACCTTCAAAATTTATCGGATATTTCCGTCAAGCTTCCTGCAAAGAAACGAGTGTCAAGCTTTGCAGGCTAAAAATATTTCTGCAAAATTTGACACCATCATTTGTTTGCAACGAAACTTTCGAAGAATATCCGATAACTTTGAAGGTCTCGAGTAGAAATTTTAGTACTTGGCTGGCCAGGCCCTGGTCCGCTGTGTCTTAGAAAAGATCCGGCTCTGTTACGGTTACCACATCAGGGCCTGATAAGAAATGTAAAGGAAAGCATTATCAGGACCTGATTTTTAAACCTGATAAGGGCTGTGGCAGGCG